TTGTCATTTCCATGTTGTGTATCCAATGAGACTGAGTGCACGCCACTGAAAAAGCTCTTTTCAACAAAGTTCATGTATGGTGAAAGAAAGCTAGTGTGCTCTGCCTCGCGACACACTTCTCATTTATTTGTGTCAGAGAAACCTGGCTAGCAGCCATGTTTATATACACACTCACTGACTGCAGCCCCAGATCCCACCCCACACACCTCCAACCTGGACCAGCATTCACTGGGGTGGCTAAAAATAGCTCAGCAGGTTCACTGTGGGTTTCCTTTGTGTGAAGCTGGTTTGGTTGAGACATTATTAAAAAGAGAGGTGTAGTTTTCCCCTTCAAGTCCTGCACCCTCACCTTGAGACCATCAGTCAGCCACGCAACTACACCACTAGGGATTTACTGACCCACTTTCCTAACTATTTCACTGATTTAAAAAAAAAGATGTTTCTAAATGCTAACCAAGCAAATTTTTGACATAAGCAGCATATAATGCACACTAAATAAAATAATTATAAGACGGAGCAGGTGCACAGAATAACTGAAAATACTGTAGCCTTTATTTTATTAGCTCACATTTCATCATGCCTTTTCATTGCTTATACAATTAACAGGATAACTTATTTTCATTGCAACTAGATACACAAAAAAGTCCAAATACGACAGCCAAGTTCGTTAAATTGCCCATGACATGCTCATTTCCAGCCATTAAATGTTTAATCTTGGGTACCTCTAGAATAGCTTGGCACCCATCATAACTCCAAATAGTCTGTAATTATTTAAGAACATAAAATCCGAGAGCCTCCTCCTAAAAACGAGGGGATAGTTCATGAATGTGCACAACTCCTGTTGCCAGTGTTGTGTCACAAGTGGACAGCAGAACGAACCTCAAAAGCATTCATTAATGTGAATTTCTCCCCCATAGAAAGGTAAACAACAGTATATATACCGATGAAAAGAAATGTGTAACACTCTAAACAAAGTTAAGAAACCCCATATTTTAACTGGCATAATGCAGACAAAGTAACTTCTTCAGCCTTACAACAATTTTCTCTAACATTATAGAAACAAGGCATTAACAGACATGCAATGCGTTTTTTTAAACTTACCATTAAGTCACACCGAGTAGTAGAAACATCACTCCCTTTCAAGTAGCTCCAAAGTCGGTAAATCCAACCAGTGGTCGCTGCATCTTCCCCCACATGACCACATACAGTCCCAAAGTGATGAAATTCATTCCAACAGGTGGCGTAGCTCTGACAATAACATCATGGATCTTAAAATCCTCTCATCAACCCACATCACATGTTGCAGACACATGGCCCTCAAACTGTCAAAACAAACAGGTACTGTGCTCCGGAGGAATCCAGCACTGATGAGCAGACCATTAACCCCGTGGGGGCTTCAATGGCCGGCTGCTTGTAGGTTAGATCCGTTCAGGTAAAACAGCGAGTCCCTGTACAGGAACATTCCCAGACATGCAGTAACTTCAGGCCCTGTATTTTTCTCCACATCCTCTGGTCATAGTGCAGCAGGAGGGAAAATATATCCTCATAACCTGGTACAGATGAAAAATTCCACATTTACAGTGGGGAAAAGAATTATTTGATCCCCTGCTGATTTTGTAGGTTTGCCCACTTACAAAGAAATGAAGGGTCTGTAATTTTTATGATGGGTTAATTCTAAAGGATAGAGACAGAATATCAACAAAAAAAATCCCAAAAAAGCACATGATGCAAATGTTATGAACTGAGTTGCATTTCAGTGCATTTAAATTGACAGGACTAATTTGGGCACCGCATGAGCACATACCCAGTCTGTGGGAGCCAGAATTATTGTTGGTTGGTGGGGGATCAAATACTTATTTTACTCACTGAAATGCAACTCAGTTAAACATTGCAGATAAGTCAGAAAATAAGGGAAAGCATGCCATGGGCTCTTTAAAATACATACTTGTATTATTTAAAATCAGATCAAACCTTAAATCCTTTAATCTGGATTACATAGTTAGATTCATTTCTGGTGTTAATTTCCCCTGCTGGGCATTAAAGCCCCTGAAAATGTAGCTTCAGCTAAATAAGCAACAACCAAAGTTAAAGTTTGAACAACACAGACAAAAGCAGTGCAGACACAAATATCTCACCTGAAACCTCTAACACTGTTCTGTGACAGAATGTTAATCATATTTCTTACAATAAGGTGACTGAAACAAATAGATCTGCAGGGTCTTTAGGAGACACAGGATCAATATAACATTACAGTGTGATGTGTGATAAATGTCAGTTTGGAAGTGGAACCCATTTATGGGTAGTTAAATTCTTTTTTTCTGTACATACAAATGAAATCAGTACATTTTTGTAAGTTAGCATAGGATGAAAGTGTATTTCCTGTGTCCAGAATACATTTCAAATCCACTCACACATGCAAATAAATACCTAACAATCTAGTTTAATAAAGTGACACGTCTATTTTTGCCTTTCTGTGCATCTTGTTCTATTGGTATTATTAAAAATCACTTTTCCCAGACTGAACTTTAGCCCATATTCAAAAGTCAGTTCATATCAGCTAATGATAAGTAGTTAATATTTATCATTAAATCAACTTTTCATTTCTGAAATGACTATTATTTATTCTTTCAAATGTTATTCATTAACAGTAGACTAATCTTTACTCTTATCAGTTTACCTCAACTCAGCTTCCTACGTATTTGTGGCCTCCCATCTCTGTCCACTGGACTGGGTTTGGTATGACACAACAGAGTCTCTGTGCTGCTCTGGCAGGAGGTGGGAGGAGGTGGAAATAGATGCTTCCCAAGGGTATAAGCCACTGCTGTGGACACCATAATCTCTAAAGTCCACTGGTGAGATTAACCAGGCTCATCTAGTACTGAATGAGGCACTGATACAAATTTTGACAACAGATACTGTTAGTATGTATGGTTATAATGAGCTTTAATCTTCAAACCTTTCCTATTTGTTGTCAGTGTCCTTACAATGTGGTATTCTTGCTAAAAATGTTGATTTGCATGGTTGCAAAACTTTTTTATACAGTCACTGTAACAGGCCATGCAAAGAAATAATCACCAAAGTCTTCAGTTCAAGAAAAGAATCTTATTCAGCATTTAGTGTAAATTCAGCCTTAAAGTTACAGTCTTGAGAGACTTGAAGCAGACAAAATCACATACAGATTTGCTCCGTGAAGCACAAATTTAGACAAAAGAGCATCTGCTTGAATTAAAAATGTTTTAACTTTGGCCAAAAATATTGAACTGTAAGCCACGCTTTGCACTTTACTAGGAAAGAGAGTGAAACAGCTGATTGTAAGCTGTGTTATACACATACATAGACTTCACAGAGAAATGTAAACATCTGCAGTGTCAGTCAGCAAACTCATCCATTGACTGTGGCTAATTGAAACGGTCTACAGAAACGCTGCTGTCGTCTGTAATGTACCATAAGAAGTTTTGGAAGCCAGTGGACATGAGGGTTCATGTCTGAAAGTCTGGTCACATGTACTGTATGACATTATATCTGTGTGTAAATATGTTCTTAGTTTCAAGCTTTTACTCACTTGTGTATATATTTATATATGTATAGATTTACTGTAATCACATTACTTTGCTTTCTAATGATTCACAGACTGAATTTTCTTGAATGATAGCCTAACCATGATCGCTGTTACCAAAGACGTGTACTGTATATTGCATATGGACTTTATGGTCATCTGCTAAGTTTAACTGATAAAATGTTCCTGTCAAAAAGTTGCAGCTGTCCTAGGTAAGATGGCAGCATGCCCGGACGCAGCGCCCCAGCACTCTAGTAGTTTTGGCAGCCACCATCCTTCCATACATAAACCTTTGTGCTGAGATTGTGTCTCAAACAAAAAGCATTAAAGTGTTTCCCAATCAAAATCCATGGTTCAACAGCAAGCTGAGGAGGCTACTCAGAACACAGGACACTGCTTTTACTGTAAATCCAGAGACCCACAGACTTACAGAGAAGCACAGAAAAGCATGAGAAGGGATATTAAGGAGGCCCAGCACAGGTACAAGTAGTGTATAGAGGAACATTTTACCAGTAATAACACCAGAAGTATGTGGCAGGAGATAAACACTCTCACTGGCTATAAGGACAGCTACAAGGCCACAGACAGCACACTGCCAGACACTCTCAGCTATTTCTTCTCTCATTTTAATCATCAAAACTGAGAAGATACTTGTACTCCTGTTCTATTGAAGGAGGATGTACCCATACAGCTGCATCGGCATCAGGTCAGGTCCACTCTACGCAGAGTTAACTCGAGGAAAGCAGCTGGCCCGGACGGAGTCATGGGTAGGATCCTCAGAGACTGTTGAAATCAGTTGCCATCACTAAATGCTTTGAGAGGCTCATCCTCTGGCATCTTAAAGCTGCCATCTCTGCTGACCTGGATCAACATTAGTTTGCTTATCACACAAACAACTCTCCATATAGTACTTACACATTTGGACCAGAAAAACACCTATGTATGTAAGGATGCTGTTCATAGGACTGTTATCAGATAACAACAAGACAGCCATCTCCCATCAGAGGGGAAAGGCCCAACAGAGGCTTTACTTCTTAAGGAAGCTAAAACACGCTCATATCCCTTTCCATCTACTGACCATCTTTTATCGATTGGCAATAGAGACCCTCGTGACCTGCTGCACAGAAAAAGACAGGAAAGACCTGCAGAGAGTGGTGAGGGAAGCAGAGTGAGTCATTGGTACCACACTCCACCCCGCTCAGAGACATTTATACTAACAGACGCCAAAAGAAAACCAGCTGCATCTTAAAGGATCCCACCCACCCTGGATACCACCTGCTCTCCCCTCTGCCTTCAGGGAAAAGATACAGAACCATCAGGACTAATACCAGCAGGCTCAAAAACAGTTTTTACCCACAGGCAGTCAGAGGCATAACACCTCACCACCATCACCACGTACACACACACTTATCCATCCCCCACCCACCCCCATTTATGCAGAATGCTGAACCCACATTAATACAGTAGCCTTCAGTTTCAATACTAGCAGCGCAATAAATCCACTCTCAAAGATATATTTGCACAGAGACATACTTAGACTGTGTCATAGACGTATTTGCACTGTATCAGCCTCACACACGTTACCTTGTTCTGTTTTTGTATATTGTTTCTAATTATTTATTCTTTTTTCCCTTTTTTATTTTTGTGCACTTTATGTTTTTACATCATCACCTTTTGTACAACTTATGTGATGCTGTCGATTTTTGGGGGAATAAAGACATTACCTTATCTTATCTATGTTATCTTATCTTATCTTTAAAAGCATTATTTCTATATGTGGTTGTTGATTAATGACTACACAAGCACAAAATGCTCATCTACTCAGAGACTCTGTCTCACTTTGTGTGTAGTGGTTCTCGCTTACCCTGTGGTGTTTTCCTACTGTATAAACTAATCTGTGAGCAAAAACAAATGTTTACGGTTTGCATGTGACAGAGTACATTCCTACAATGTTTATGCTGCAATCTGTGGTCCTAACTGTGGTTAGGACCACAGATTGCAGCAACAAACTGTATTTTTATTGATAAATATTTTAGTTACGAGTACACTGAGCAAGCAAAGCAGTTTTTCCACCAACGGTAACAGCCAGCCTCTGAAAAGTGTAGGCCTACTCACTATTGACAAGATATGATACTGCAACACAGCTAAGCTACTGGTGCACTTTATGTGTGGTGGAATAAGGTGTGTGCTTGTCATACTGTAGGCTCCTGTGTGTGTAAGTGCAACAAGCTAATCAGCTAAGGGATGTAACCTTTGACCCACAGAGGGCACTGTAGGTCACTGATAGGATGTCAGCTAGCACATAGCCAGCTGTAAGAGAGGTTTGTTGTTCATAGCAGTTCAGTAAGAAATTATAATCACTCAGTGAAATGTCACTGTAAACAGAGGAAAGGGGAGCAAGGAAAAAAGAAAAATGCTCACACAGCCTCCACACCTCAAGGCCATCAACTAGACTGGCATGACAGCCTCAAATTATCTTTTGAAGCCATGGATCACAGTAGAGCTGCAGAGCTTAGCAGCTTCACACTGGGCCATAGGAATGATAACAATTTACAATGTGGTACATCATTTAGACAAACCAACACCAACCGGGCTGTATTTCCCAGGCAAGTGAAGACGGTCCCCCTGGCAGACTGGAGTTACACTTATACAAACACTTCTCTGAAGCAGATATAATTTCACTGGTTGAGCTAAGCCTCAGTGGGCATAGCCAGAGGCCTCGTAACTTGCTTCCTCTCCCTCAAGAAAAGCCAGTATAATTTTGTTTTGTAACAACACTGTGAGCATAAGAATTACTGATATAATTAATAACATTAATCTCTTCAAAATGGTGAGTTTGAGAAGTTACCTGTCCAACAGAAAAAATGCTACTTCAGAGTGGCGGGGGGGGACATAAATTGTAATTTGATTATTTTCCAAAATTGTTCAGCCCTAGTTAGTACTAACCAAATGTTTATTGACATCTGTACTTTTCATAACCTAATGATAGAGGGGTTGAACCTCTCTCTCAAGGGCTCAGTTTTTCTTCACACAAATCACGTTTGATGTATATTATTTGGTCTGAGCAATGCATTTGTAACAGATGAGGTTTGTGGGAACATGTTGCAGGCATCAAATTAAAAAACCTCTACACAAAAACCACTGGACCAACCTTCTGATAGAATACATCACACTAGAGAAAATGGTATCTACTCACAAGAATAGTTTATCAGCTTTTTATGACACATGGAACCCATTTCTAACACATTTCAACTTGAACCAAGCACCTGGGGCTGAGGCCACACACATTCCCACCAACCTCTAAAAATGGAACAAGCTGCTTTTATTAGTAGTACTCATCATTATTATTGTTGTATTTTTTTCTCCTTCTCCCTTTTTTCCCTTTATAAACTACATAAGTTGGAAAGACCCACACTTCATACACTTCACACACTACAGTCCCTGTATATCTCTTTGTAATGTCAAGTATCTTCCATGTGCTGACCTGTTTTGTTAATGTGTTATTTTGTTTCAAAAATGTTTTTAAATGAGTGAATATCTGCAAAAAAAAAAAAGTTTTTATCAGTTTGAACGTTAAATATCTTGTCTTTGTGGTGTATTCAATTAAATATGGGTCAAAAAGGATTTGCAAGGCATTGGATTCTGTTTTTATTTACGTTTTACACAATGTCCCAACTTCATTGGAATTGGGGATTCCCCAGGGATTGATTTTAGGGACATTACTTATTAATCTGTACTGTACCACTGCTACAACTCGGTAGTGTCATGATGAGAAACTGCATCTTTTTCCACTGGTATGCTGGTGACACATTGCTTTATAGTATGTGGCTTTGTCTCCTGGTGACCAAGACTGATCTTTACTACTACAACATTACTGTATACAATCCAAGCATCAGGCCTCTCAGGCCCTCCAGCACATGTCTTTCAGCTGTTTCAAATATAGTGGTGAGCACTGCTGTTTTATAATATACTGAAGAAGTTGCTATTCAAATACTGACTGGGGTAAAACAAAATAAACACAAATGTGGTCAATTCAGGTGTGACTGTCTGAATTATGTATTCAGTATGGACAAGAACCACATACTGATTATTGTAATATTAGTTAAAATAGTTTGTTTGTTCATTATTGTAACATATATGATTGGGCCATACTTTGATTTGATTTGATTTGATTTATTTATTCTTTCAAGCATGTAAAGACAGTTGATATATCAACACACATAATTTTACACATATCCAACAAATGCTAATCCAATATCAATTTGCTTATACCTAGTACATGCTTGAATGGAGTAGGAAGAAGTCAGACTTATCCAGTCCTACCCCTATCATATAGGACAGATTAATGCATAAATGCAGACAATCCCAAAGAGTACACCTACTTTTTCTTGCCCCTGTATGTACTTGGAAAAAAAATCCAGTTTAATCGCACAATTAGATTTTGGACACAGATATAATTCCATACTTGTCCACATTGCAGGAGTTCAACTGAGACCTTCAGACCCACCTGGAGATGCAGCAGATATTTCCAGATGCCTGGTTTTGTGTTTTTCCTTTTGCAGCCACTTTGTCTTTTGTTCATTTGTTCTTCGATGACAGTAAGGACAAAGTATTTAGGCCCTCTGACCCTCTGACAAAGTAGTCACAACCTGGCTTTACAATTAAAAAAAATACTGAGCTGATGCCAGAATCATCAGTCAAGCCTCAAGAGTGAAGATTTCACCTGACACTTCATGTCATGCTGTTATTGTTCTGCTGGATGTTAAAATTTCATAATGCCATAAGGACACCAGCTGTCCTCTGAGGCACACTTCCGCCCCTGATGGGGACCTTCTCAGATGGCTTTCCCATGTGCTGGAAGGGCCTGTTTGGGTGTAAAGGGATCATGCTAACTGAAAGCATGCCAAAAAAAAAACCAGATCTTGTTGATACAGTCATCTGAGCCAACTGGCTAACACATTAAGCAGCAGCTACGTTAGCTGAGGCTGCAGTGGAGACCATCTGTACACGTGGCCAAGAGAAATCACAGTGGAGTAACAACAAAAGCTAACACTGATAGTTATTACGTGATTTGCCTGACTGAGGCACTAACTTATTCATTATCCAGTCATCTTAGTTTAATATTATTTCTGCTGTGCTGCTAGGTCAGTGGTTCAGGCTGGCGTTGAGTTGTAGCTATTGACATGTGACATAATGTAGCTGTGAAAATGTGTTTTGTATGAGTATTCACCTGCGTTTTTCTTCAAGACAAGAGGACTAGTCTGTGTGAATGCCTTGCCAGACATACCGGGGTAAGATTTCGGCTGGTTCCTGAATCTGACCCCTATTGACATTTCACACAAGGCTCTGCATCTTGCTGTCTCTCTCGCACTCACTCACTGGTCAACATTTTCTTATTCACATGCCAGAAGGTTGGTTCACCGTAATTTTAAAAGAACATCTTGCCACTCATCTCAAATTATCTAAGCTCGCAGATGCACATAGCACTGGAAACATACATTTAAAGAATTAAATACTAATGCCACTTTCCAGAAACAGTGCAACAGTTCCTCTAGGTACTCAGACTTTGCTGTGAATAGTTTTTATTATTTTTAATGGCATGGCTGGTTATTTTCTATATTAAAGTGCCCATGGCATGCTCATTTCCTGCCAATTAATGTTTAATCTTGAGTACCTCTAGAGGGTCTCTTCCTAAAAATGGGAGGATAGTTTGTGAATGTGCACAACTCTTGCTGTTGGTGTTGTGTCGAAATCTGTTTCTCCATGG